CTATATCGCTTATACTGTCACTCATTGGCCCCTTCCTATGCTTCGTTGACTCTTCGCGAGGAGCACCTCTGTAAGGCTGACAGATGGGCAGGTTGAGGATGTTAAACCAGGCTATTTATCTTCATTGTGACGATCACTCGTTCTCAATCCTCCAAGAACACAGCTGAGAGGCAGCTTAGCCCACAACGTGTCCTCATTGTCACCGCAAAGGAGAAGCCGCACCGAGGAGCAACAACCACACCGAGGAACAAGCAGGGACCAATAGGGTCAGACCAATGCCGGAAAGGTCCCCTCTCAAAATCAAGGTTTCGGCTGAGAGGCAGTTGCGCTATACGCTAAGAAACTGGAAGGGAGCTAGGTGCATCTTCGACCCAACAGCAAACGCGACTCAAGCCACAGAGATTACCTTCATCCAATATGGATGACAAAAAAGGAATCCATAAAATAGTCAAAAGGAGAAGGGCATTGAGGCAAGATGACGCACAGCAAGTGGCAAAACTCGTATCCCTATCTTTCCCAGATAAACGTAGGCAGAGAGAACGGAAAAGGAGAGGTCATATACGGAAAATGGGACGCGTTAAAGATCGTGAAGACCAAGCGGGACCGAATGAAAATTACGTTAATTGGCTTTCTCGAAGCTCGAAAACCTTTCCAATACACCCGCCTTTGTCACGAAAAGGAGAAGAACCCAACCAGCATAGTCGTCTGTAAGTATTTTTGACTGCATTTCTTCCTGGTCTGACTATCAATGTAGATGTCTACGGAATTGTAACTGGCATTTCGTAAACGACCCTCTAGAAACCAACAAAATGCGCCCGTCGATAAATACCGAGTTGAAGAAGACTCTGCACTGGCAAGGAGCCCATAATAGTCATCTTAAAGTCTATTCTGAGGTATCTAGATTACCACGGAACTTCTTTGGTGGTGAACTAGTTATCCCAGATCAATGGGGTGTGAGTAAACGCATCTTTGTACACCTCTACTGACATCTAAACAGCCTTTGAAAGGTCAAGAAACCCGCTTTATGGAACGTGGTCCAATGGACCCTATCTCTCGTCATCATACTGGGTCCAGAAATCTTACCCCAGACATGCCACCAGAGGACGAGCTACCAGCAGAAAAACTTTATTCAAACTATCCCGATTCAGATGAGGTGTATACCTGCCAACTCGTCTGCATTCTGAAAAATATATTCAACTCCAAATCACGAATCCAATGGTCATTTATGGAGGTGATGCGTCCTTCGAACATGGACGGGTGGCGACTCATGAACTACAGAGATCTCAAACGCTGGGATATTCGTCGAGCAAGTGGAAACATGACGTACAACGACGAATCTCAGGATAGCGACATTTGGTCTTCCAACTCTTTGGCGCAATTTTTGTCTATAACCTTTCATTCGTGGGTGGATGATTCATTGGAATCATATTACGTAGACCAAGAACTCAGTACGCGAACGAAATTAGCCTCCTTATTCGCCTCTATCATGCAGACCGACGTCACGAGGGCTCATTGGTATGACATTCTCAACTCTCCTTCTCGAAAGTCTAATCTAATTCCTGGTAGCCTAGAACGACCTCTACCTCCTTCAGTACTGATTGCTTGTAACCATCCTGTGTTTTCGGATATGGTGGCAACCCCTAATGAAGAAGTCCTGCCTTGGAATTGCGATGATCCCATCGTATTCTTCGCCGCTCAATACCGGAGTGGTGATCTTGACGATGCCATTACCCAACTCGCCCATAGTCTTCAGTCAGGCATAAATATCCTAATTCTCTACTATCTCGAAACTCGTCATGACACCGATCAGTTCCTTCCAAACTGGATGTATCTTTACGGTATCGTCTATTTTGAATCGGGCTTTCGAGTATATACCCACTACCCCCTATATCAGCCCGAACCTAGCACCGGCTCGAGTGTGGGTGGTTGGTCGGTACGTTCCACTTCCATGGAATACGATCTAGATAATATTTTTGATCTGGAGGCTCACGAACGAGAACCAGCAATCGCTGCATTGCTAAGGATCCAAAGCCACATTCGATTTATCTTAAATCGCCTCAGGCGATGGGATGGATTCCACCGAGTGGTGCAGCAGTTTAATGCGATAGAATAGATTCAAGGACAGACTGTACTAGATTCTTTATATAGTTATAATTAAAAGACCCCTCCGTCATATTATAAACAGGCTTGTGCGGTTCCTTCAATGCCAGATTCATAAGATCGATCCTGCATTGCCTATAGCGTCGCTCTTGGCCCCTTTTTATGCTTCAGTGACTCCCTCGCGGTGGGCAAGGGTCAACTTTCCAAAGCTAAGCGAGCCGTGGAAAGTTGACCTTTGCCCACCGTACCTACGAGGAGCGGCACCCTCCGTAAGACCGCGACAGGGGGCAGGTTGGGGATCAAAAGTTGAACCAGACTATTAATCTTTATTATGACAACTACTCGTTCTCAGTCATACAAGACCAGAGTTGAGAGACAGCTTAGCCCAAAATGTGTCGTCATTGTCACCACAAAGAGGAAGCCACGCCGAAAAGCAACAAGCACACCAAAGAACAAACAGGTACCAAAACGCTCGGACCAATGCCAGAAATTGCCTCTTTCCAAGATCAAGGGTTCGGCTGCAAGGCAGTCACGTTATATGCCAGGAGAGTGGATGAGAGGTGCATCTTCTATCCGACTCCAGACGCCAGAAAGAGCACAGAAAACATCGTCATATAGCCTATATGATAACAGAGAGGTCCATGAAATAGCCAAAAAGAGACTGATTTGGAAGCAAGACGACAAGTGGCGAGTGGCAAATCTCATATCCTCAACCCTCCCAGATAAACCCAAGCAAAGAAAACGAAAAAGGAGAGGTTATATACGAAAATTAGAATGTGGTGAAGACCAAGCAGCGTCGAATGAAAATTACGTTAATTGGCTTTCTCGAAGCTCGAAAACCTTTCCGCCTTTGTCACGAAAAGGAGAAGAACCCAGCCAGCACAGCCGTTTGTAAATACCCTCGACTATATTGGTTCCCGGGTTGACTATTCATCTAGATGTCTTCAAAACTGTAACTGGCTTTTCGCAAAAGACCCTCTACAAACCAACAGACCGCTCCCCTCGAAGACCACTGAACTGGGGAAGACTTCGGATTGGCGAGCATCCTGGAATAGTCATGTTGAGGTCTATTACGAGATAAAAAAGTTACACCTATCTTTTTTTGATGGTGAACTAGTTATCCCAGATCAATGGGGTGTGAGTAAACACATCTTTGTGTATCTCTACTGACATCTAAACAGCCGTTTAAGGGCCAAGAAACTCGCTTTATGGAGCGTGGTCCAATGGAACCTGAGTCTCGTCATCATACTGGGTCCAGGAATCTTACCCCAGGCATGTCACCAGGGGAGGACCTACCAGGAGAAGATCTCTGTTCAGGTGATTCCGAATCAGATGGGCGGTATACACGCCAACTCGTTTGCATTCTTAAAAATATATTCAACTCCGAATCACGAAGCCAATGGTCATTTCTAGATGTGATGCGTCCTTCAAACACGACATGGTGGCGATTTATGAACCACAGAGATATCAAACGCTGGGACAGTCGTCGAGCAAGTGGAAACATGGTGTATAATGACGAATCTCCAGACAGTGACATCTGGTCCTCCAACTCTTTGGCGCAATTCCTGTTTACAGTCAGTTATTCCTGGTGGGGTCATTCATTACAATCACATTACGTGAAACAAGAGCTCAGTACGCGAATGAGATTAGCCTCCTTGTTCGCCTCTATCATGAAGACTGATATCACGAGGACTCATTGGTACGGCATTCTCAACTCTCCTTTTCGAAACACTAATCTAATTTCTGGCAGCCTAGAACGACCTCTACCTCCTTCAGTACTGACTGCTTGTAACCATCCCGTGTTTTCGGATGTGGTCGCAACCCCTAATGAAGCAGTCCTGCCTTGGGGTTATGACGGCCCCATCGTACTCTTCGCTGCCCAGTACCGGAGTGGTGATCTTGACGATGGTGTTACTCAACTCGCCCATAGTCTTCAGTCAGGCATAAATATCCTAATTCTCTACTATCTCGAAACTCGTCATGACACCGATCAGTTCCTTCCAAACTGGATGTATCTTTACGGTATAGTCTATTTTGAATCGGGCTTTCGAGTATATACCCACTACCCCCTATATCAGGCCGAACTTAGCACCGGCTCAGGCGTGGGTGGCTGGTCGGCACGCTCGAGTTATGTAGATTACGATCTAACTCACATTTTCGAACCGTATACTTATGAGCGGGAAATGGCAATCGCAGCATTGCTAAGGATCCAAAGTCACATGCGATTTGTCTTGAATCGTCTCAGGGGATGGGATGGAGTAGTGCAGCAATTTAATGCGATAGAATAGATTCAAGGAGAGATTGTGTGACATTCTTTATAGAGCTCTCATACACTATAGCAGTATCTGGATAATGCCTAGTTACTCAGGACTTAGGGTTCTTCCCCATTTCTGCAGCGTTGTCCCAAGAAAACACAGCGGTCTCGGATATGTATTGTGCATTTTTACGGATTCTTTAACCTGGGATATCATGATGTCAGTCAGTGCCGGCATCACGAGTACAGATGCAAATCCCCAATGAAGTCCGATATGTATATATATCCTGAAACCACAATCGAGGTATTCGACTCCATGTAGAAAGAACCAATATGGACATATTGAGTCGACGCTTGGACGTTTATCGAGGTAATACGGTATCAGGGGTACGAGGGTTATATAGAAAGCGCAAGTGGGTTATGCTCGCCATATTTTTTCTGAAGATTTCGTTTCACGTGCAAATAGGACAGGTCGAAGATCGAGCGGCCATGTCGGGGAAGCTGCCGTATCAACATAGTCTTCAAAATACATACAGGCCTCGAAGCTGTCTCCCACCTTCAAA